TCACTAACGGAATCACTGCTATCCATTGGCTCAATGGAATCTTTTTCTTTTCGTGCAGCTGTAACAAGGAACCTATCCAATGACACTTGCTTTTGCCTCCTTTTGGGGATTTTGGGGAAACTTGACATTGCATTGCTATTAAACAGATTCATTGCTCGCACTGCTACAGCCTTATTTGGGTGGTGCTTTTCTAAAAAATTTTGCATTGTTTCCCATATTTTACACATCTGCCTAATCTCATTTGAAATGAGGGATTCCTCCGCCTTTTTCTCCTCCTCCTCTGCATATGAGATCTCCTCCATAACCTCTTGCTGTTGCTCGCGATCCAGATCTATCAGTTCATCGGTGGTCAGTTCCTGGCCATGTTCCACCACCAGCTCTTGAATGTCGTCCTCATTCACCTCTAGTCCCATGGTCTTCCCCAAGGACACAACTTCATCGACAACTGGCGGCTCCTGTTCATGAGCAAACCCCTCTAAGTCGTGTCCAAGAACGCAATCAGGCCACAGTTTTCTCCAAACAGAATTGAGGGTTCTCTTGGTGACTCCATCCCAGGCTTTACCAATGATCTTGAGGCAGTTCACGATGTGGAAATGGTTTTTACAAAACTCTGAGAGGATAAGGTTTGTTCCTTTGGTCACCTCGAAGCATCGCTTAAATAGTGCTTTGATGTAAAGCTTTTAAAAGTTCAAAATGACCTGCTGATCATGGGCTGGAGGATTGGAGTGGTGTTGGGAGGAAGGAATTTGACCTGAATGAACTCAAATTCCTCTAGTAACTCGTCCTCAAAGCCTGGAGGATGAGCAGGAGCATTATCCATAATCAGCAAAGCTTTGAGTGGCAGATTCTTTTCTAAAAGGTATTTCTTCACTGCAGGACCGAAGACCTCGCTGAGCCACTCAACGAACAAGATACGAGTGACCCAAGCCTTGTTGTTGGACCTCCACATAACATTTAACTGACTCTTCTGCACTTTGCATGGATTCTCGGAATGATACACAAGCAGGGGCTTGACTTTTGAAATCCCGGCTTGCATTAGCACAAAATAAGAGGGTGAGATCATCTTTCATGGGCTTGTGACCAGGCATTGCATTCTCTTCTTCTGTAATATAGGTCCTCTTTGGCATCTTTTTTCAAAAAAGCCCCATCTCATCGCAGTTAAAAACTTGATCCAGCAGGGAACACTCGGAAACCATGAGATTCTGGAACTCAGCTTCCTTAGCGTGCGAACTCACAGCCTCTCTGTGCCTCACAACACTATGGATGCCACTTCTCCTCTTAAAGTTATCAAACCATCCCCTGCATGCCTTGAAGGCTTCTTCGTTTTCTGTTGACGTACCTGGCAGTTTATTTACGAGGTCGGTGCACAAGGCCTTTGCCTTCTCGCAGATAAAGTTCTCGGTCACAGTATCACCTGCTAGTTGCTTCTTGTTTATTCAAACCAGAAGCAACTTTTCTACATCTTCCAGAACACGTGGCTGTTGCTTTGATATTCTCATGACTCCTTTTGCTGAATCTAGCTGCCTTATTTCTTATTTCTTCTTTAATATTGTGCAAATGGTTGATGTAGACTTATAAAATCCTGCAATTTCAACCACTCGCATACCTCGTTCATACTTCTTGATGATTTCCTTCTTAACTTCCACTGTAATCATCTCCTTCTTCTTACCGCCTTTCTTTTCAACCTTTTTCTGCATGGGGGCCATTGTATACACTCACACGGATATTGACTACAGTACAGTATTAATAAACTTGTCATATACTGTATTTAATGTAACTGGCAATAAGGCAGCAGAGGAAAGGGTCTATATCTGCAGGCAGCCTGACCTGGAATGAAGCGAAGCATTCCTAATCTTACTCTTGTGTGGAAAAGCAAAAGACTGTCCATAGGTGCCTTGAAGTGACAAAAAATACACTAGTGCCAGTTGTGGGCACCTTCCAACATTCTGAAAAATCACTGATTTCTGCCAAACACCACGACCTGAGACTGAGCATCAGAACATGGGAGACCATCACCCACAATCCCACAGCGAGTGAGAGAGAACCACTGGCTCAGTTGTGATCATTTGATGTTCAATGTCACGTACTACTTGTATTGCAAGACATCGCTCATTTATCAAGTTAAAGTTTATTAGAAATGTTTGCTCGTCTTGCAGAATACTCACAGAACAAGTTACTCGCAATCCAAGGTTTCACTGTATTTAAACAAAGAAAAAAAAATTGAGAGGAGAATCTTGTTAACAAAAAACTTCCCCTTACAGGGCCAGCCAAGTGGCGCGAAGGTTAAGAGCTAGTTTGGGATGCCAGAGGGCTCCGGTTCGGATCCCACATATGAGGGCCAGTGACACTGCCCTCTACAGCTAAGATGCTGAACACCAGCTCAACCTGGAGCTGGGGTGCCGTGAGTCGCCGGCGACAGCGTAGGCTGCAGCCTCTGCTGCAGTGGGTTGCCATGGGCTACCGTGTGAGCGGCCAGCAGCCGTAGTGAGCGGCCGTCCAGAAGCCAGCGACTGATCTGCCTCACCCAGGAAGAGCACAATGATGGTGCCAACTTGGGCTAGTGAAGCAACGTCCTCCACAACTAGACTTAAGAACAAAAGGACAGCAACTTGTCTGTTCCCCTTCCCCCAATTCCCCAGCAATGTTCCTATCCCCCCAATTCCCCAATAAAAATCTTTAAAAAAAAAACTTCCCCTTACAGCTTTGTAAATGTACAAAAATTTTAATTTCACAGAGAAGCCATTCAATTCCTGACTCTCATGATTTTATTCTAATAATAATTTCTAATAATTACAATATGCTAAGGATTTTAAGTGCACCATCTTATTCAATCTTCATGACAACTCAACAAGGTAGGTAGAGGATTTCCACAGCAACACAGAGAGAACTGCAAGATCATACAGCTAGCCTGAGGGGGGGGCAAGGTTCAACCCCAAGCCCAGTGTTTAGCTTGTATGTATCCTTCACTCTACACTTGGCACATTCAGAAGAGGACTTTCTGTACAACACAGAGCAAGTTCTTCTACCTTAGATCACAAGCCCTTGCTACTTTTAAGATAATTTTCAGGATGAATCACCACACTAGTTTAGCAGGTTGTGATTATTCTTGAAGCCCCAGTCTGGATATATGCCATAGGTCAGATAAAGACGAAGGGTCAGGAGGGCCAGTGGTTAAATGGATGGGCTGATTTAACCTGTGAAAGTTATACACAGAGAACTTAACTCAAAGCATGGCTGACACAGAAAACAGGACCTAGAACAAGCTACCATTAATTAAAGCAGAGCAAGTTAGAACTTAAATCAAAGGTAATGCCTTCTCTTGATTTTTAGAGCAACTAGCCACCCTTGTGGACAGAAAATTATGCAACCACCAAGTTTCTCCCACACCACATCATTAAAATACTACACTAAAATTGGGGAAACTGACTGAGACCAGTAGACAACCTTGATGATTTAAGTTTGAACAAACTTTCTGAGAAGATTTACATGGCATATTCAGTTAACAATTTATATTGTTAGCAATCCTATACTTTAAAATTTGTCTATATAATATATGTGGGAAGTCTCTGAAACATTCTTAAACTCAAATCAATTATAAAACCAAGGATTTGTTGAAAACAATGTAATAAGAGTCATTATTTATAAAGGTTTCTGTGTACAGTGGAGTCAATTCTAAGAGATTACAGCAATTTTTCACTCTGTTAGAAATCACCTAAAATCTAACCTAACTACAAAAAGATTTACTGCAATATTTATTTGCTATATAAATATTTATTGAGTATCTATAACAGGCACTACGCTAGACATTAAATAGCGAGCAAATAATGGGCTATTGCATGGCTACGTGGAAAATCAGAATGTTATCATGAAATAGAGACCCTGCAGCTACTTCAGATTGAGTGGTCAAAGGAGGCCACTTCAGAAAACTGTAAAACACCCAAATTGCCATCAGTAGTAAATAGCCCAAATGTCTATCAATCATGATAAAAATATACAATAGAATACTAGGCAGACATTAAAAGCTCCAGGTAGAATTTCAAGTGCTAATAGGGAAGATATACCACATATGCTACAAACTGGAGAAAGCAAGATACGAAGAGAGTATATATGAATCTATGCATATAAATTTATTAAAGCAAGTAGTCAGATGTGGGTATATGCATTAAAAGTATCCCAAAATTATTAACAGTGATTACTTTCAGGAAGAGGAATTTGGACTGTGGAGACTCTATATTCTATTTAAGATGTGTGTATGCATGCGTGTGTGTGTGTGTGTACTCATTTCATTTAAACACTGAAAATTTATTTTTAATATATAAATAAAAGCCAAATCAGTATGACAGAAAACATGGGCCTTCTATTCTTGATCTATCTGAAACTTATAATTCTAATTTACAAACTTAATATACAAACCTCCCACTTAGGGAAGGTGGTAATATGACCACCTAAGAAAGGACTGTGTGGACAACATTTGGCTTTATGTTAAACCTCCTGTGGCTCACAAAACCCTCCCAGCTCAGCTTTCACTGGTAAAAACTGGCTCACCTGCTCTCTGTAAGGTACAGATATGAGGATAACTATTCCAACTTTGACATAAAACCACTTGTGAAAATACTGGGGAGGACACATCAATAAAGGGAATGAAAACTGGGTGTTCTCCCACAATTACTAACATTCAAATGCCCTTCCCACAGAGAAATGTTCAGATATCTCAAGCAGATTCCTCAACAACTACAAATGTCCTATGTGTTAATGTCCCTAAATTTACTAAAAATTAAAGATAAAAGTTTTAAAAAGGACCCCAGTGATTCAAAAGTAAAACATACTTCAAAAGAATTTTCCAAACAAATAAGTAGAGTGGTATTTTCCAGCCGGGTTGAAGATCCCATTTCCAAAATTAGCAAACCAAAATAATATCTTTACTCTATGAGGCAATTACAATTATGTGCTTAGGAACATGGTAAGCAGTAAACAAAAGAGCCTATTTTTGAGTTTCTTACCTAATGCAGCATGATCTTCTTGCTCCTGACTCTTTCCCAAAGGGGTCATCATTTTTGAATATGTGTCCGTCCACCAAGGATTATACTTCAAAACCTGTTCAATTGCCTCATCTTCAAAAAAGTCAGCTCTGGAAAAAAACATTGAATGGGTCTGTTATATATTAGGTTGTCGGAAAAGTCATGACGTATTTTTTGTATGTTTTTCAATGCAAAAATGGGTCATGACTTTTCCGACAACCCAATAGAATTAGGCTGGTTTTCATTTTTTAAAATTTTATAATGTCATTTGCACTGGGTATATAGATTAATTCTAAGTACATTTCAAGGAAAGACTGAGCACAGCATTTACTTTCTTTGTGGTTAATAATCATCATAAAACAAAAAATAAGCCTCTGGCTAAAAGGATACTTGACATTTATGATCTCTTCAAATGGAATGTACACAGGAGACCAGGCTTACCCTAAGCACCATCCCAATCCTACAGCAGTATGGGGTAAAGCAAATCTGAACACATATGGACCTGAAACCCAGCACTTGTGCTTGGTTTGCAAATATCACAGATTTTGGTAAAGTTACAGTAAAAGAAATTATCTTTTAACTCCACCAACAAATAAAAATAAACCCGAGTAGAAAATTTAGGATACTGAATATCCACACACAGGGGACACACACACACACACACACACACACACACACACACATCACTGTTTAGCTAGCATGTGCACTCGTATTTTCTACCAAGATATACACTATTTTATTTAGCTATGCTAATCTTAATAGTTGCTTAATTTAAAACTACTAAAAATAAAAGCAACCTTTGTAGAGAGCAGAAAATTAATTTTCCTGTACTTCTCTTTCTCAGTTTTAACTGGAAAAATAACTTATATTCAAAATATACTCTTAGAGGACACGTATTCAGAAAACATGCTATCTTTCTCTCAAAGTTGGAAATTGGTATTCCTGGGTAACAAATGACAAAAAGTATAACTCATTGTAAAATATTCATTTATATTTCAGTTAATTACAAACCCAGGGAATTGGTTGCTTTGATAAACTGGATTATCTAGCTGATAGTTTTATGACTTTAAATACTTTTTTCTTTCAACTAAGATGCTGAAATCTTTTAAAATTAGAAGTATATGTATGACAGATAACAAGTTCTTCAAATGTGCCAAGCACTGCACTAAGTGCTTCTAATTCATTATTTTCTTGAATCCTCATACCATCCCCATGGGCAGAGGACATTCTCTGCCCATTTTACATGGTGGAAACTGAGGGTCAGAAAAGTTGTATATTATGGCCAAGTTCAAAAAACTAGGAAGAAGTGTGGCCAGGATTTGGACCCACTTAAGTCTATCTCCATAATCCAAGCTATTAACCAATATACACATTCCATTTTTTTTTTTAAGATTTTATTGGGGAATTGGGGGAGGGGAATAGCGTTTGGGAAATTGGGAAAGGAGAACAGACAAGTTGCTGTCCTTTTGATCTTCAGTCTAGTTGTGGAGGACGTCGCTTCACTGGTCCATGTTGGTATTATCATTGGCTCTTCCCGGGTGAGGCAGTCGCTCGCCGGCCATTGGACGGCTGCTCACGGCGGCTCACGGCAGCTCACACTAGCTGCCATCCGCTCACGCTGGCAGTCAGCCACTCACGGTAGCTTACTGCAGCCTAGGGGGTCGCCGGCGACTCACAGCAGCCCAGCTCCAGGTCGAGCTGTTGTTCATCATCTTAGCTGTAGAAGGCACAGCATCACTGGCCCTCAGGTGGGATCGGAACCAGGGCCCTGCTGCTCAGAGCTGGTGTCCCAAGCCAACTTTTAACCAACGTGCTACTCAGTCGGCCCTACACATTCCATTTTTATGCCTGAGGAAATAAAGTACATATTGGACAAAACTGAATAGTAATTATCTTGAAACAATAATTCTCAATTTATGTCAGGTGCACAAGGTATGAGACTAGGATGAAATGCTTGCTTTATAAAATAATCCTGCTAAGAAAGTCTCCTACTAGCTATCTCTTTTCTTTTAAAGTGAAGGAAAACTCAAACTGATAGTAGTCAGATAGGAGAGGGGTTGTGGGGCATGGAGAAAAAGGTGAAGTACAAATTGGCAGGTACAAAACAGTCACAGGGATGTAAAGTACAGAATAGAGAATATACTCCATAATACTATAATAACTATGTATGGTGTTGGGTAGGTAATAAAGTTATCAGGGCAGGGGACACCTCATAAGTTACATAAATGTCGAACCATTATGTTGTACACCTGAAACTAATTCGTATAATATTGTATGTCAACTGTAACTGAAAATTATTTTAAAAATAAAATGAAAGAGATCTCTTTTGAATTGAGATTCTACTATAGACTTTACCCACAAATCAGGATGTGAACTTTTCCTGCAAATCGAATTTCAAAAAGGATAAGCAAAGGCCGGCAGAGTGGTGCGTTGGTTAAGAAGTTGGCTTGGGAAGCAGCAAGGACCCAGTTCGGATCCCACATTAGGGACAGTGACGCTGCGCCCTCTACACCTGAGATGGTGAACAACAGCTCGACTTGGAGCTCGGCTGCTGTGAGTCGCCGGCGATGGCGTAGGCTGCAGTGGGGCTGGCCGGCAGCTGGTGTGAGCTTTCGTGAGCTGCCGTGAGCGGCCATCCAACGTCTGGCGAGCGACTGCCTCACCCAGGAAGAGCGCAATGATAATACCAACTTGGGCCAGTGAAGTGAAGTCCTCCACAACTAGGCTGAAGAACAATAGGACAGCAACTTGTCTGTTCCCCTTTCCCAATTCCCCAACGCTGTTCCCCTCCCCCAATTCCCCAATAAAAATCTTTTTAAAAAAGGATAAGCAATTAACAGTAAAAATGGCTAAAATGCTAAATAAACCAACAAAATACTAACTTTGTGCCATGTTCCAAGCTCCACGTTGGATACTAGAGTTACACTGCTAATAAGACACAGGCAGTCCTGGCTCTCACAGAACTCACAGTTTCATGGGAGAGTCAAACAACTACAATACAGTGTAAGAGATATGACATAAGAGTACAAGAGTTTACGACAAAATGAAATTGGAATGACAGGCAAGGTCCCCGGAGGAAAGAATATCTTAGCCAACAGCTGAATGATAATGAACAGTTAACCAGATTAAGAGAGGTAGGAGAAAATAATCTGGGATGAAAGAATAATTAGCAAAGGCTAGGAAACAAGAAGACATATTTAAGAGGAAAGAAAAAATTGAGGATTGCTAAAAAGAATGTGTTGTGGTGACAACTACCTTGTAAGCCATGTTAAAAAATCTTTTATCCATAAGAACAAGTGAACACTTAAGAGCTTTTGCATAGGGGACTGACATCAGTGTTTCAGAAACATCACTCAAACTGCCACCTAGGAAATGGTTTAAAGGGACCAGAAGAAACACAAATAGATCTGACATGTAGTTAGAAGCTAGAATCCTCAGGATGTAGGAGTCAAAGGAACAGAGTCAAGGTAGACACACCCAGGATTCTGGCCTCAACCACTGAGTGAACAGTGTCATTTGTTGGAACAGGAACACAGGATGTTACCAGACATGACTGGAGAGAGAATGACTTTGACAGAATGACTTCTGCTTGCAACAGGCTGAGCTTGAGGTGTTCTTTTAGGACCTATAGAGACCTGTCCAACAAGCAGTTAGACATGGGAGTCTGATGCTCACAAAAGACACATAGGACAGTTAATGAGGTCAAAGAAGAAGCCAGGATTGCCCAGGGAAAACTGTCAGGGTAGTGAAAAGGGCTTTGGACACTGGAGCACCAACGACACAAAGCAAAGGTAGAAGAACCCATCTGAAAAGATTCTGGTTTTTACCATAGGGGAAAAATTATTTGAAAAAAAAATAAAACCGGCTCTGTAAAACTATCTCTGTCACCTGCATACCCCCCACATCCCAAAAAGAATATTTAAGTGATTATTTTTAGTAAGCTCTCACTAAAACAGTTCCAGTGATTAAACTGTGATGATTTTTACATTGTCCATGATTTAAGAGTTTTGTGAACAAGATTTGGGGCTTACTTATAGTCTACTTTCCAGAATAAATTATTTTCAAGATTTTAAATGCCATTCAATCCAACAAGTCACTGAGTGCCCTCTACGTGTGCACAGCATCAGGGATTTGAGATTGGCAGGACTTGCTCCCTGCCCTTCAGGACTCCACAATTTAATGGGAACCATAGACACAAACACAGAACGCTGTAAGAATAAGATGAGTTATAATATGGGAGCACTGAGGAGGGCTTCCACCATCAGTCTGGGAGAGAGGGTGACAGGGGGTGACAACTGAATTCAGTCTTAAAAGATAAGTAAAAGGCAGAATGCGACAGGGGAGAAAAGAGCTCGCCAATGGATACCACTAGTACAAAGTGTACGAGAAACCATGTGGTACAGATGGGCAGATGCAAACATTGATTACAGTTATAGTACAGAATGTGGCAGGGAGTGGCAAAAGAGACACTAAGGAACAGGCAGGATCCAGATCGCAGAGAACTTACTATGCCACCAGAAGGAGTTAGAAGCTCAAGCTCTAAGCAAAGGACGGCCCAGTAGGAGTTTAAGCAGATTTTCATTTTCAGTACATAAGACATTATACTGGTGGTTTTATAGTTGATAGATTTGCGGAAGTCCAGGCTGGCGGTAAAGACGTCACTTAGGCAGTGAGGAGACTGCTGCAATAAGTGTGACAGAGATGAGGGCCAGAAATAGATGGAATAAAGGAAACAGTAGAGATAAATGGTACAACTTCAGGATAGATTGGAAGTATGGGAGAAGAAAGAAGTCAAGATGAATCCCAGGTTCCTAACCTGGGTGAGCAGAGTGAAAAATCAGGCACTCCACCATGGAGAACATTCTGGAAGACTTTAAAAGTGAGATGATGAGTTCGATTTGGACATGCTGAAATAGAAGAGTCAGCGAGATGCCCAGTCACTCTCTAAACCCTTAACCTGGCTTTTCTTCATTGCACTTACCACAATCAAAATATGTGTACTTCCCCATTAGAATGTAAGCCCCATGAGGGTAGCCACCACACACTCCTTGCTGTCTGCAAAACTGCCTGAAATGCAGTTCACTGAAATAGTTGTTGAACAAATGAAAGA